TTGAGGGAACAGCTTTGCTCCAAGCTTTATCCAAATAAAGAGTCATAACCAAAAAGCACCAGAGATCTTAAATAATTGCCTTCCTGGACAGAGGGGACAGGCTTGCTTCTTCTTGATTTGCCAGAACAATAACTTAAAACTATTGCAAGACCATTAACTTAACAAAAAATCTAGTTTGTTTGGCAAGGTTATTTAGTTGCAAAAGTATTAAAAAAAAAAAAAAGTAAAAAAGATAATCTGCTAAAATTTAAATTCAAGGAAAAGCACCTTTAACAACAAAGCAATTCATTCAGAAGTAGGTGGCATGATCCCTAAAACTGAATTCTGCAACACAATATGCAGCATCACCAAGACCCTGCTTTTATAAGCCTTTCTCAAACATCTCAGTATATGGTTTATAGATAATGCAAGGACTTTCCTTCTGACCTGTTTTGCAAAATGAATTATAGAAAGGTCCTCTCTCTCATACACATACACACACACACACACACACACACACACACACACACACACCTTCACACTTTGATGATAATGAATATGGTACTGTATTAAGACCTAGACTAAGTTCATATCCAATTACCAATGTTCTTAGTTATCTTATTTTCTTACTGATAAATGAAGTAGCGTCTATTTCCTACTAGCATGCTGTATGATTAAAATACGTCATACCTAATCTCTAATCTTTCATAGCTCTAATCATAAGGAAATTGTCCACCATCCTACAATGGACAGGCAAAAAACAAAAATGTTTCAGAAAAAACGACAACCAGAAGGAAACACCTTTAATTCAAACAGCTGCTAAAGAAAAAACAACTACTGACAGTAATTCCACTAGTAAGAAAGAATAATGCATAATGGAATCAGGAACTGGCATTATTTCAGCAAAACACCAGTTTATGATTAGCAATATAACTTTACTACAATTCTACTGTATAAACTACCTATCACAAAGACAAATTTCTTCCACTTCAAGCCATCAATAAGTCACTGACTCAAAACTAGTGACCTCAGTGTCTCTTCTCTCCCTTCCTCATTTAAAACATGCTATAATGCTAATTGTTCTTTCTCTCTCCACAGCTTCAAAATCTTTCAGTCCTTTAGTCAAAGCCCTCAGTTTTGGCCACCTTGTATTATGATTAACGAAGAATTCATCGCTTCATGTTACTAGACACTTTCATTCAGTTCAAAATAAAAAAATTGCATTAATTTTCATCACCTGCCACTATGATCGTCCACTACTCTTTATTTTAAACTAGAGGCCCAGTGCATGAAATTCATGCACTGGTAGGGTCCCTAGCGGCTGCTGGCCAGGTACTCCCTTCCTTCCCCCAGACACTTGTTGCTCCCTTCCCTCGGCTGGCCCTGCCCCTTGGTCAAACTCCAAGATAACCTCCTGGTCAAGCGGACAATCTGCATACTATGCTTTTATTAGATAGGGTAAGCTGAACTACTCTGGCTAGTTATAAAAAATAATGACAACTAATCTACACAATACTATAACACTAACCTAAATTAATGTCCATATAATACCTAGAATAAAACTTACCAACACTTTAGTCCTTCTCAAAATAGCTAGGAGTATAAGCTAGCAAGTCAGGTAAACAAGTCACAAAACAAAGAGTGCACAGGATGGCCCACTTAATGCAATGACAGTTTTAAATAAATTTTTATACTTAAACAAGTACTATAGAGTGTAATAGTGGCACAGATGTATAAAAAAAAAGACTTCAAGGAAGTCTTGAAAATGGCTACTACGGGACCTTTTTCATCTGTCCAAGTATACTGGTAGAAAAGGTTGAGAGAGTATTGTTTTAAGTGACTTTCCTTGGAAATGTAACTATTACTCTCATATTCCAATCTGTTGTGCAAAACTCTGGAGATTAGCATTTCTTTCCTATGATTTTCATAAGAGAAAAATACTCTGTAGGAGTAACCACTCTGATCAAAATATATATAGCAGCATCAGCTACATGTAATATCAACAGGAGAAATGAGTCCTGGTAAAACAAATCACATTCTTCCATGGTCCATGAGTGATGAGGAAAGACTATCTTTAAAAGAAACTAATAATATGCCCCTCAAGAATATCTGCCTTTTAACTTGGCATATTCTAAAGCTAGAAATGTGTTTTGGTAAAGAGGCGACATGACACCTAATAAAGGGTACAGAATTTCAAGTGCAAAGAAGAGTTTTGGTCTCAACTCAGCCACTTCCTAGTCTCTAAAATGTACAAAATTATAAGGTCAATGGATCTAAAAGCTTTGTAAATAACAAAGCATTATTAAAGTGTTATTTATCATTCACCTAGCTTTCAGGCTATATAAACATGGAATACTGACCAAATAACTAGCTTTTCTTACCAGGCATCTTCAAAATTTCAACATGGTTGGCAAGAATGTTCTTCTTTACTACCACTGTTCAATAAATCTAAAAACTATTGCTAATAATCTAAAGATGCAAAATTTTATGAAAAATGCATTCTTTAGACAGTCCTTGCATTTATTTACATTTTAAAAGGGGGAAAGGAAGAATACTTTATAACAACCTAACAAGTGGGCCAAAAGTTATACTGAAGTTAAACCTAACAAGTGACAAGTCAAAAATGAAGAGATACGTATACAAAAGTGTAAAAATCTAAAATTAATAGTCTTCCGTTGCCAAAATCAACAACACTGAGCACGTCCAAGAATAATTTGTTAGACGCATGTGAGAACTGTTTGACAATTTCATGTCATCACTTGCATTATAAAGGACTGGGATCTTACTACAATTATAAACACTTCTTGCCATACAAACAGAAGGTAGAAATGAAGTAATTAATCGAAAACCAAACATGATGAATTTAACAAGACAGTATTTTAAAGTTATAGTAAATCCCATACTAGTAAAATTTGATCTTATAAAGACATCTCAAAAATTACTTAAGCATTAGTCTTTATCCTTTAAAAAAATTTTTTTTAAAAAGGAAAATGATAAAAAGCAACCAAATGAAAATTAATATTGCTATTAATGCTTTAAAAATATCTAAGGTGAGTCCCCTTATCATTTTCATGCAGAAGAAAAATTCTCAGAAGCATCCTTATATCATTCTCTAGTTCTTCTCAGTATCAAATTTATTTGCTTAGAAAAGTATTATAAACCTGCAAAAAATACTAGACTTTCTTAAATTAAACTCAAGAGAATGAAAATGTGAAATTGTCCACAATTAAAATAGAAATGAAATAAAATCAGAAGAAAAAAGAGCATTATAAATGATACCACAGAAATACGAAGATTGTAAGAGACTACGGTAAACAATTATACAACAACAAACTGGGCAATGTAGTAGAAATAAATAAATTCCTAGAAACATAGGACCTTCTAAGATTGAGTCATGAAGAAAACAGAAAATCTGAATAGGCAGATTACTATTAAGGAGATTAAATAGGTAATAAAAAACCTCCCAACAAAAGTCCAGTACCAGAATGGTAATGTGTAAGGAGTCCTACACTTGGGGAGAATATCATTGCATTCACAATGCCTTCTTCTACTCGTCTTTCTCCCAAAATGTTTATGTAAGTTAAAACTTGCTTTCACCAAATACCAGTGATGAACAAGACATCCAAAAGAATAAATGTTAAGAGGAGAAAGTGGAAGGAGCCAGACATTGTTGTTAATTGTGCTTGGCAACCAACTTTCTTCCCTGTATCTATTTAAAAATTATAGTAATCTTGAACAATTCACTTCTCTCCTGGACTTGCTTTCCTCATCTGCAAGATGAAAGCATGGACTAGAGAGAGAGTCCCTAAGATTCCTTTCAAGGCTGACAATCATTCAAAGAAGAATTAAACTCAAAGGTCAGCATTACCCCGATATCAAAACTAGACAAAGATATCACAAGGAAAAACCCTATGTCAGATACAGGGTTAATATACAAAATATATAAAGTGCACATACAATTCATTAGCAAAAAAAAAAAAAAAAAAAAAAAAAAAAAATCTGATTAAAAAATGGAAGAGGATCTAAATAAAAAATTTTCCCAAGAAAACAGATAGTCAACAGGAACATGAAAAGATGCCCACATCGCTAAATTCTAAGGCAGTAACACTCTATTCTTTTCTGTTCACTCTATAGACCCAAAGCAAAGATGAGGCTTGCCCAAGTTTCTAGTAAATTCAGGAGGGCTTCTGTTGTCAAGCCAGGTTAAGTACAGTCCAAAGAGCATTCTTTGCATTTAGTCAAGCTCCATTATAAGGCGTTCCTCATATCAATTCAGTTCTGATCTAAGACAGTCAGATGTTTTGTTCTTTCTTCTCAAGCATCAGTGTGTTGTGAGGGAAGGAGAGAAGGAGGAAAAGAGAAAGAAGATCTGGGCCCTAAAAGACTACTTTCTCCCTTATGTAAAGTGATATTTCCTCTTCAGGATAGTCTACAATCAAGTAGGTTATGCTTCTGGAGAAAAATGGTAACCAGCAGTTTGCTAATTAAATGAGAGTTATATTAAGAGCGCTGTTTTATAACCGAGTTAGCAACAAGAATGCCGAATAAAGTCTGAGAAGTTAAGGTCAACTTTAATTCTGTGCTTCTATTCAATTTCTATACCCTACTTCAACCCTCTAACTCAGGGGTGGGGAACCTGCCAAGAGCCATTTGAATATTTGTGACATCATTCACAGGCCACATACAATTATCAACTTAAAAATTGACCTGCTATATTTGGTTAATCTAAATAACTCACCCCACCCCTAATGCTTTGGCAGGGCTTGACCTAATGATTTTCCCGGGCCTTATATGGCCCACTGCCCAGATGTTCCCGACCCCTGTAACCCCACCAAAGGCCACATACCTCTTCACCTTTTGACTTTTCCTGAATTCACTGATAATTTTTTTTTCCGAATTCATTAGTAATTTTTTTTTTAAATTAAGGACTAACATTTCCAAACTCCATTAGAGGAAAACTAAAAAAAAAACCAACTTGAGATCCTTCCAGAATTTATGCCAGAAGTATTAGGATAACTTACCTCAAATTTCTTCACCTTTTCCATTGTTATCAAGCGCCTTGCTGTGTGACTAGAAAGCTTCTGCTCACAGTTGCTAATAAGTTTCAGGCAAGGATGCCAGGGTACCATCTCTTCAGTGTATCTGAAGGAGGAACAGTTGACGGTTACAAACACTTCACATGTACACCCATACAGGATAGTCACTGGGGTTACCCAGTGTGTGTGAGAGCCCCTCCCTCTACAGCAATGTGGTACCATTTTATTTCATATTCACTGCTCACATAACCCATAAACAACCTAGGTATTTTAATATTACCACATCTGAGAAAAGTAGTTTGTTTTACCTGTAGAATGGGAATAAGAGAATACAAGTATGTTTTATTGAAGAGTTACAAGAAATTAAACCACAAAAATACAAGACGATAACTACTCTAAAGGATCCAACAAGAACACCTAAAACAGACAAATACATCGACAACTTGACATTCATGAGACTGCTTCATCAGGAGATTTATAATTTCCTAAAGTATAAGGTCCTCTACGGCATAACTTTCCCTAAAAAATTTTGCCCTTGCAGAATTTTAATGGCATTCTGGGACCTCCATGAACTTTGTAAAAATGTCAGACTAAAGTTATTTATAAGATAATTCAAATAGGCTATCACTAAACTAAACACTAGCTTAACCATGAAATAAAACTGAGCAGTGGTAACTGCCACTGAACCATGTGAATGGAGATGGCGACACCTAGAAAACAGGACAGTCAGGCTGCAGGAGTTCAGAACCTGACATCGGACAGGTTATTGATATCAATATTGGCAGAAAAAGCAGGTGACACGACGTGAGGAAAACAGCCATAGAGCAGAATGCAAAAGAACAATGGGAGAAAGGGTTCACTAGGTATGGGTACCATTAATGACACTGTGATTGCGTTTTTACTTTTCCTTTGTAAATCTTTATATCTTTATCTCTGGAGACACTCATCAATGGGGACATTTAGAGCTCTGATCCCAAAGTGGGAAGAAGCTGGCTGCACTTCACCTAAAGGACTGGCCTCTCAGCTGGCCTGTCCTAACGCGTCACCATCGTCCTCACCACCCTCCCTCCTCTCTGACCTCTCTAGGTCTCTCTGACCTTCAAGGCGATTTCCCCATTACCTCAGCCACATGCTCAGAGCCTTCATCACCCACTTACCAAGCAGCATCTATAATGCACTTCATTTTATTATCAGTGGCAGGAATTCTCTTGAAGTCTTTCTCTGACTACTTCCTTAAGGTTTCCCAACATATAATGACCATTTCAGATTTTACCTCATCTAGTAATTCTCTAAAGTTTACTACAGTGTTAGAAATGTTGTACTTCTACAACATTAGTTAAAATCAATTTGGAGTCTTCATACAAAGCATTTATGATATGAAGGAATACATTCACCATGATTGACAGATTAAAATAAAAAGTGATGACAGAGAAGATAGAGCCTTGACCTATACTTGCAAACAGCAGGGTTTACAGATGCCTAATACTGTTTGTCAAACTCAGTAATGCACCCTTTTCAAAAGAAAAAAAAAATATTTTATTTCCTGGTGGTGTTGACAAAGTATCTTTATTAAAACATTACTTAAGTATTTGCAAACATAAATTAGAGATAAATTCCTTATGCTTATATCTATATAACTACAAAATAAAAAATAAATTTATAAATCAAACCAGAAGTACAAAACCAAAACAATTTTAATTAATACTTAAGACATCAATGATGGTAAATTGCTAAAACAAAGTCAGCAGTGTTTGGCTTAACAGTAGAAAAAATATTTTCATGTTTTAGATTCTCTTTCTGACTTGATCTGTAAGTTTAAGTAGCAAGGTGCATCATTTGGGTCATCATTATCATTGAATTTGAGGGTTGTTTTTTTTTTTTTTTTTTTTAATATATTTTACAGAGAGGAAGGGAAAGGAATAGAGAGAAACATCAATGAGAGAGAAACATCAATCAGCTGCTTCCTGCACACCCCCTACTGGGGATGTGCCTGCAACCAAGGTACATGCCCTTGACCGGAATGGAACCCGGGACCCCTCAGTCCACAGGCCTATTTATATAAAACCAGTCTTACCTCAAAAACCTTACAGGAGTAGTCTAAGAACCATATTTGGCCCGCTGGCCATAGTTTATTAACCCTTGACATAAAATAAAAAGGTCAAAGTAATTCCGTCAATAAGAGAAAGGGGCCAGTTTTATACACACATGTAGGTAAACAAATACTACCATATATATTAAGTAGAAAGATATTTATCCTAAAAACAATTAGATAGTGAAAAAAATATGCTATATATACAAACATCATAGAAAAATAAAAATGAAATAATTTAATGGTACATACTCTGGTGTGTATATTGGTAACCAATACACTAGTCTTCCACCTAATGTGAGGGTCTCAGCTGCAAAGTTTAACAGGTCAAAAAACATATCACTCAGATGATAATTCAAGGAAACAGGAACATGGCTTTCTGGACTAGACAAAAAAATAAAAAATAAAAATGAGTAAAAATCTTTAACAGAGTTAATTAGCAAGAAGCAACATGCTTGTTCTCAAAGTAGTAACACATCATATTTAGCGCTCACTTACCATTTTTCTATTCCCTTCTGGATTTCCTTCTGTGAACCTGTTCTTCTTGTCGATTCTCTGATACCATATGGAGCTAGACAGAAAACACAGGTAACACAGGTAGTCAAAAGTCACCTACTCCCCAGTGAGGGGCAGATGGACTGATGTGCCTCCAGTTGTGACACCGGGAAGGGTACACGTCACCTCTGCAATATTCCAGCTGAGAATGTGTAACACAAAGAACATTCGATTTAAAAGATTTGGAAGGACAGGCAGGACATGTGTTCTTCAAAAATGTCAGTGTCATAAAGACAGAGGAAAGCTCTGAAAGTGTTACAATTAAAAAAAGCTTAAAATATATGATTACTAATGCAATACCTAACACTAGAATAGATACTATACTACAGGGGGAAATATGCTATAAATGATACTGGGTCATTTGACAAAATTGATGGAAAACTGTAGATTAGACTATTGCATTGGTAGCTGTACTTTTGCTAAGATCTATCCCTATTCTTAGGAAATGACACACTGAAGTACAGGGGTAAAGGGCCACAATGCATACAATTTATCCTCAAATTTTCAGAGAAAAAACTATATTTTATGTAAATATATAATGAAAGCAACAATAAAGTAGATTGTTAAAAAGTTACCCAGTTTTCATAAAGTATCTTCATGCTGACATTATAATGCCTTGGTAATTTTTCTTTTGTTAAATTAGTTACCAAAGAACTAAAGTGAGCTGAGATGGAAGGGTTGAGATACACTTGCCACTATTTACAGATTTATTGCCAAATACTGTAGAAAAGGCAGATCCGTTCTCATATAGAATGCCAGAAAAGCCCAAGAACTCATGAGGCACAGAACACAGTTCTGTGTATTCCTGAAGCTCAGTACGTCTCTCAAGCCCAGTGTCCACAGAATTTCTTGTAACTCTAGAAAGGAGATGTCAGTGCAAACAGGCACTACAAAAAACACAAAAACTTACACATGGAAAAATGTGTGATATATGAAACTCTCTTCTTCGAAATCTGATACCATAATTGCAAATGACATTTTGGATCCAGTGGGTACACTAATGATCAACTATAGCCAAATATAAAACAAACATGAAAACAAATATATGCTTCAAAAATAAGCTGAAGAAATAAAGGGATGACAAGTTAATATAGATATTTAAGAAAACTAAACAGTAAACTTTTTACTACTTAGTTAAATAGGTACCCTACCTATATTCACTTTTTTTTTTTTCCTTCTCACTATATAAAGATGGGGGTGGGGAGAATACCAATACAAGTTGGTATTGTATGGTGTGTGTGTGTGTGTGTGTGTGTGTGTGTAAAGTCTGTATTTTAAATGTGAATAAATTCAGAAAACGAATCCTACTCCTACTTTTGTATAAAAGCAAACTTACGATCAGTGATGATTGCATCAAAATATGTGCCCTTCTTCCAGGAAGGTTTGGATGCATCAGAAACCAGGACATCAAGGTAATACTTCTCTAATCCATACTGACGGAGATTTGCCCTAATGTTTTCATCTGGTCCTCTCCATTTCTGGTTTTTCCTACTAGCCTTTCCTGAGGTGAGAGAAAAAGGAAGACAGGAAGCACTAAATCAAAGCAATATTTAACTCATCTCAATCTACATTTATTCAAATACAACATGCTTTCACTTAAAAAAATCTTCATTTTATTATACAAATAAACATTTATTTCAACTTATAAAAATATATTTGAACAGTAAAAGGTACTGACGCCTGGTATTGTTTACTTTTCATGTAAAACTGCCTTAAAACACTAATTCAGTACTTACTGAGTCCAAATCATATATTAGTAAGATACAGAGTTGAATAAAATATGGTTCCTTTCCTCCAGCAGCAAACAGTCTGATGTAGAAATAGTGATGAATCAGATCAATGAAACAGAAACTAAGAAAGCTAATTTTGGAAATGCATGTGTTCATGAAGGGAGGGATGGGGGGCGCAAAATGGAGACATTACAGATGAAAAGTTGCAGCAGGATTGAAGTTGTTCTAAAGAACTAGTTTAGGAGAAAAAAGTGGATGATGGGACACCATCAATTAAGATGAGAGAAACCAAGAGGAAAAAAGATGTGATTCACTTGAGATACGTCCATCTTGCTTGTGAGCTACCTACACAACCTTCAGAAAGAGCTATTCAGCAGGTAGTCGGGGGTCAGAATATACACACATAGGAGTCACCTGTATAGAAACTTAACTTAAATCCATAAGAATGAATGACATTATTAACCTAGGTGGCAGTTACATACGTGCTTGTTTTATATTTATTCTATTTTTATACACTCTTCTGTACAATGATCTACTTCATAATAAAAACAAAATTTAAATGTCAAAAGGAGAATGACATGACTGTACAAAGTAGTGTTGACAGGAGAAGGGGCAGAGAGATGCCGGAGAAAAGCAATGTGTAAACACAGAACAAAGAAAACTTTACAGGGCTTTACAGAGGCTGCAATGGAAGTCAAGGACATAAAAGCACAACCTGCTGAGACTACTGTCTCGGGAACCAAAGGAGGCTTTATAAATGTCAACACTGCCAAATGCTGTAAATTTGTGGCCTTAGAGTTTTCAGTAGGGATGAAAGCTGACAAATAATAGGCACCAGAAGATGAGAGATGAAGAAGGGGAAGGTAGCAAGTAAATACTAGTTTTTTAAGAAGTATTTTGGCAAAATAAGAGGAAAACAAAATGGCAGCTAGAAGGTGTCTACAGGATTGACAGAGAAGGTTTTGTATTTTTAAAAAGAGGAGAAATTTTAGGATATTGGAGTACAGTAAGAGATCAGAATGGACATATCTAACAGCATCGTGGATGAGCTTTGAGGAGATGCTATGTCCATCAAAATTCTACCCAAGTACAGTGAAAGGTTGTAACGAGTTTTAAACACAACTTTCATAAATAAAAATTCAAATAAATTACATATGACAATTTCCTTAAAGCAAACATACCACTTCTACTAAAAGCAAGCTGAAACAATTCTGCTTAGTACTTTGTCTACTCTAACATATTGCAGACAAAGAGTATTTTTCTTACTAGCTTACTTAGGTGAACTTGATTAAATACAACTCATTTTCCTTATGATAAATATTACTAAATTCCTTATAGTCAAGACAGGAAAAAAGAGAGGTTATCAAGTACAATATATTAAATTGCTTCAGCAAAAGAAAAGAACGTATAATAAATTTTCACCTATATAATAATTTACTCTGAATAGGAAAAAGGAAAAGAGTATTTTAAGGGCTGATTCTAGCTGCAATAATTTAAGTAGTATATACAAACAGCTTTAAAATCATCAATGAAGCCGAAACCGGTTTGGCTCAGTGGTAGAGCATTGGTCTGCGGACTGAAAGGTCCGGGTTCGATTCCGGTCAAGGGCATGTACGTTGGCTGCGGGCACATCCCCGGTGGGGGATGTGCAGGAGGCGGCTGGTCGATGTTTCTCTTTCATCGACGTTTCTGGCTCTCTATCTCTCTCCCTTCCTCTCTGTAAAAAATCAATAAAATATATATTTATAAAAAAATCATCAATGAAACCTGACATTTCTAAAATCATTCAGCTATAAGGAATTACTTTTTCAGTTTGATTCAATTTTATTAAATAATACATCATCAGCAAAGCTTCCAGATTTTAAACTACTTTCCAAAATCCCCTCAAAAGCAAGCAATCTTCAAATAGAAACTGTATGTTTTATTAACACAGACATGCTGATTACAAAGTGGTTCTCTCCTAGTTCTTCTCTCCCAACCCTAAAGTTCACTACCTTATAGTTCGCCTCCTTTTAAAAAATCTCTCTTACTAAGACCACAATATACATCTCTGAGGGAGGGTTTTTTCTTATCCATCACTGTGTTCCCCCAGGATCACTTCATATAAAGCAGATACCCAAGGAAATGTTATTGTTGTAAAAAATAAGTAAAACTATATTATACCACTACTCTTCATTTTTAACATTAAAAGTAGATGTATAATACCAAATAAAAATATTTATTTTCAAGGCACATTTGGTACAAGAGCAAAGACTGCAACACTGTCTAGAACCAAACTCACCCAAGCCATGAACTGTGTTGTAGTCTATGTCTGTCCCATAGACATAAGCTCCGAAATGAGCAGATGCTATCAGAAGGCCACCTGAAAAAAACCACAGTTATGGTCTGTTAACCAGAAAGTCCCAGACTCTTATTTCTTCCACGTTTTAATCTGACCCAGACTCTTACAAACTAGCTGCAGGCAGAGTATCCTAGAAGGACAATGGTCCTGGCCTCCAGACCAAAAGAAACAAACCCCTAAGCTATGCTCACGACAGTGGTCACAAAGCAGGTAATTAATGTATGACTTGACTTCATTACAAGTATTTAAACAGCAATACTTATAGAAAATTATGTTTTGGGGGGGTTTAAAATAATGTATATTTAAACATTATTTTCATTTTATCCTGAGAGATCCATGCAAAGCATGGATCTTGCTCCTTTTTTACAAACGAGCAGATGACTGCTACACAAAGAGCTGGCAATCAATAAATTCTGACCACTGGGCTCAATTGCACTAAAGTCAGAATTTCAAATAACTCAAGAGGACATAATTAATATATAAGACATTAATTCTTGCAATAATTAAAATATTAGGATAAGAAATAGTTATTTCTATAACTAGTAAAGCAATGATCTCATTTTATAAATATTAAGTTCCAAATAACTACTATGAAACACACAATTAATGCAATTTTTCTGTTTACTATTCTATAGAAAGGTCAGTCGAGCTGAAAACAGAAGTATATTCTAGACTGTACACAGACTTAGCCAAGGGAAAATAACTAGGCTATTTCCTTAATATACTTTGAAATGTAATCTCTAACATTAAGATGGGTAGTGCCTCCAGAGGGTCGAGATTTATAAATGAATAGTGTTCCCCCACAGCCATTTAAAACACAGTCTGATAGCATGTACTTACAAATACTTTTCCCATGAAAAAATATTATAACTGGCTACTTCCTATTGGAGTTTCTGAAGAAGAGAAATGAAGGACTAAAAGCACAGCATAAGCCAAAACCTAGGTCCCCTCACACTAACTATTATACAAAAGAATTTGTGTGAGAGGTAAAGTAAGTAGGACCTCATAATTCTTACTTTACAAATGCAACAGTCCCTCTTTGGAAAAGCTACTATATTTGATGACGTGGAATACTCACAAAATCACTTCACCCAAATTTTTTTAAAATATATTTTATTGATTTTTTTACAGAGAGGAAGGGAGAGAGATAGAGAGCTAGAAACGTCGATGAGAGAATCATCAACCAGCTGCCTCTTGCACACCCCCTACTGGGGATGTGCAACCAACGTACATGACCGGAATCAAACCTGGGACCTTTCAGTCCGCAGATCGACGCTCTACTGCTGAGCCAAACCGGTTTTGGCGCTTCACCCAAATTTTGAGGAATTACTACAAGTCTGCCAATTAAGGCAGATACTCACCTAGAGGAGCTAGTTGTCAAGGGAACAGAAAAGCTTTCCTGTGCTTCCTTAAACAGAACCTTATCCATTTGGTTAGTGAGTTTTGAGCAGACCCAATTTAGATATACACTGCTGCAAGGAGATGAATAATCTGTTAGTTAACTCTGTGCCCTTTAAGCTTTTAAAGTTTTAAATAAAATCATTATAAAGTAGCTTCTCTGATTTCATCACTGAATAACCACTGTCAATCATCTAGTTGTTTTTTTCTGTTAAATTGAAGCATTTTTTGCATTTAGCTATACCTCTAATGGAGTTTCCTGAAAGCTTTCTGGGGGATTGAGGGGTGGTAAAATTCAGGGAAGAAGTGTTGAGGGGCCAGGTAATGTGACTCAGCTGATACCTTATTACATGCTTTCAAGTGTAAAAACACCACAGACTCAGTGTTTTGATTTCTCATTATTTAAATAGCAATCACTTTAAGGTTAGGGTAATATCATATAAGCAAAAGCCCCAATGAATGAAATTTGCTTATGACAAAGAAATTAATGCCTGATTTTCATCTTTAGAGATTTATGTGGAAAGCTTCACAAAGTGTGAAAATGAGAGACTGGCTTTGGTTTTGCTGAAAGAAAAGGAAAAGGGAGAAAAATGAAGATACTATTAAATCTATTTTATCCTTTAAAAAACCTCAAATAAATTAAACTAGCAGCCTAAGCAAAAGGACATTGCTAGAACAGAGACATCTTCATAGATGAGCTACTAAACTCGGGAAAGGAAACCTCAGAGAACTGTGGACACAACGGGAGGCAGAGACCATTTCCCAGACTCACGGAGATCCATTACTCTCTCCTCACCTTTTTAGTCCCCCCAGAACCAGGACAGTCAGTGTCCTGACAGCTGTTTCTATCATTTCGCAATGATAACTTTTCAAAAGGAGCCACACTCCTTCCCTTACGCCTCTGGGCCATATGAAGGCAGAAGCCAAAGGAACAGAGCAGTCTCGCGGGAGAATTCTCAGCTGCCGAAGGAACCCATTCCCTTGTGAGGGAAGGTGAGAAGGAGCAGAGCTACAGCTGCAAAGTCCATCATAAAATCACCCCACAGCAACCGACATTGGCAGACACTCGGGCCAATTATTCCCATCACTTTCAGAGAATGAACGTTTACATTTTAATCCTCAATTTCCCCGCTTGCTGATATGATTTGCCAATGGTTGCAAATTATGAATATTTTGAAAAATTAGCCAAAGAAGAGACTATAAAATAAGTTCATGGCCCAATTGTTCATCATCACCATTCCATATTGGCTATATCTAACATCTTCCACCAAAAAAGCACTTAAGTTCTTAATCAAGTAATAATTTAAAATAATAATGATAATCAATACAGTTCACTGAATGTCTAGCATGCATCATGCAACTTCCTAAGAATTTCATAGACATATATTGCCTCACTTAATCCTCACAATATATTACTTATTACCATATTACAAATGATGGAGTGAGGCCCAGACAAGTTAAGAATGTTGCCCAAGGTCACATAGTAACTGACAGAGTAAGGATTTAAAACTAATTCTATTTGCTCTTATGATAGTCCATGCCATACTGTCCCCTTTGGGGTCAACAGCAACTGAAGTAAATATACATTAGCTTACCAATTAGAAAAACAAAAGTAAAAAGTATTAGACAAAATAAATTAAGTAAAATTTGCACACTCAGTATACCATTCACAAGTTTTATACTATACAATAGGCAGGCCTGGGCCATTGTATGTATTCAACACACTCATGCTGATCACTCCTTGGGTCATGCTTATATTATTAATAGAACAGTAGTGCTTCCTAACTAATGAGATTTGACCCAATGACATGTATCTTCCCCCTGAAGAAAACAGACACATCTTTTAAAAAAATCTTACTAAAGTAAGAATCAATATATTTGCTAAGATGGAAGGAAAAGTTTGTTTCTAGAGCTCATGATGTCCTTTTAGATAATGTAGCAGATTACCTCACAGAAATAGGAAAGGTATTTGGGCAGGAAAAGGTTCTCTCTCTCCTTTCAGTCTCCCAGAAGCTTTCTGCCCTGAGAAAAGCACATGGCCAAGGAGGAGGGCACTGAGCTTCTTATTTATCCAGTCCTTCAGAAGGTACTACCCATCTGAGACAAAAGGGCCCAGAAAGAGGACAGGTTGTCCTTAAGAAATGTGTCTAATCACTATTGGCTATTACCAGTTTCAAAACAAAAGCAACAAAAATAGCTAACGTCCTAATTCTATACTTGAACTACAAACACAAGCTATAAAATACTAGAAGCCCAGTGCACTTGGGGGTGGTCACTCAGCCCGGCCTTCACCCTCTGTCAGTCTGGGAGCCCTTGGGGATATTCTACTGATGGCCACAGTCTGGCCTCCCTCTTCAGGAGGCAACTGGAAATGGCACCAGCCAGCGAGTGGCCAGCCCCACCCCCATCGCTGCCACTGATGGCCTCCCTCTGCGAGAGGTGACAGGCAGGCCAATGGAGGGCCGGCGCGGACCGGCAAATGGCCAGCCCTGTCCCCACATCGTCCCACTGTCACTGCTCTCCCCGCCCCCCTTGCCATCCACTCCCTCTGCCCATTGGCACCCGTCTTGGCTGGCCTGGTGCTACTTGCTCACCAGCCCTGCCCCCTGCCCACTGATGGTTCTACTGTTCACTCAATTTGCATGTTAGGCTTTTATTATATAGAATACTTAAGCAGCATCTTTATAAAGGGCTTCTTGAAATTTTCCATTAATTGTGTCATATATACATAAACAGTAAAATGACCAAGCTATGCTACCCACTTTCAGGAGCTACCATAAAGTCTCCCCACTTCTTACCAAAATAAAAGCAGTGAAAACCTCGTTTGCTGTGGAAGTAAACACCCAGCCTAATCTGCATGAAGGGAAGAAAGTTTAACTCTATTTTTAAACTTTATGGTCTGGTGTGTGTGTGTGTGTGTGTGTGTGTGTGTGTGTACACACGCATATTAAGCTTTATATACATGTATGTATCCAAAGAATTAGTCTCATTTCACAGAAAAAAATGTTTTAATGCCTAAGAACAAGTTTAGGGATTAATAAAGGACTCGGCATTTGGAAAAAGATAAATTAGATCCATTCTTCACATTGGATAAGAAAATAAACTCAAAATGAACCAGAGATCTAAAAGGGAAAAATTAAGATGACCAAAGTGCCAGCCAAATGCATAGTTTAATCCTCTATAAATTGGATACAGGGAAAATTTTTGCATGGTAAAAAGCTATTCTATGCTAAATCAAAGGATAATGGAAAACTGGGAGAAAATATTTTATATACATGTACGGGAAAGATGAGGCTAAACTCCCTAACATAAAAAGTACTTTTAAAACTGAGGAGACCAAAAACTCTACAGAAAAATGGGCAAAAGACATGAAGGATAATTCAAAAAAAGTTCTAAAAATGACCCTTAAAATATAGAAACTTATTACACTTCACTCATAGTAAGAGAAATACAAATTAACACTGCATTACGATAGATTTTTTCATCCAATGGAATAGCAAAATTTCAAAAGCTTCATAATACACTCTGCTAGTGAGGCTGTAGGAGAATAGGGCCTCTTATATATTTCTGTCAAGAATGTAAAATGATATAATTGAGAGGAATTTGGTAACATTTAACAAAACTACATATGCATACGCTCTTCAACCCAGCAATCCAGCTTCTAGGATTTTACCCTAGATATACTAGAACACGCGTGTGTGTGTGTGTGTGTGTGTGTGTGTGTGTGTGTGTAACATTATGAAGATATACATGTACAAGATTATTCATTGCAAACCTTATGTGTAACTGCAAAATACTGGAAACTACCCACACCCAAATACAGGAAACTATCTGACTAAATTACAGTATACACACCCATGGAGTTCAATTATAAAAAAGAATGAAAGATACAGAGAACAAACTAATGGTTGGAAAGGGGAAGGTGCGGATGGGTAGGGAAAAAGAGAATGAAGAAAATCTCCATGAATAAATAGTAAGTGATTTCCAGGAAATACTGTTAAGTACTAAAAAAAGAAAATTTAAAAACAACATATATATGGTATACTATCTTTTATGTTAGAAAGCAGTAGAAAAAAAATGCACATATATCTGCTAATCACTATCAAAAGTAAAAATAGAAAACAACAACTCAGGAAGAATGAAATAGCTAACAAAAAATAGGTGGTTACTTACAAGGAATGGGAAATTATATGGTTGTCAATTTTAAAAGATGGACATTTTTTGTCACTTAAGTCTTTCTTTCCCCCAAGACTTTTCCTATTTAAATAAACTAAATAGCTTCATAACATTTCCACAATATAAGATATTGCAATGTAAGGTATGCTTCCCCCTAGTGGTTTACTTGGGGAAAAAAAAATACACAAATTCATCTTTGAAGTGGCAGAAGTGTTAAATATGGGCTATTATACAAATATGTGGATATCTCTTAGGCACTAATAATAATTAAAAGATTATTCTGTCCATTTAACCTTTTAGCAAAAAATATTACTATGAAAAATATATATTACTTTGATTTTGATTTATATAAACAAGCAATGTCTCTACGCTAGCTTTAACAGTTAAATCAAAATACCTGTTCCAACAAATGGGTCAAAGACAATATCATTTTTCTTTACTTTTCCATGGTTGGCCATGATGAATGATAAACCAGCATCCATGCTTGTATTTCCAATGTAGTGTCTCTTTTTGACACTGTATGACTCTATAAGCTCTCTTTGTCCATCTGCAATCTAGATCAAAGATGTTTTTCAAATTAGTATAACTGTACAGAACAGAGTTAAGCTAATTATCCACAGTGCTTGCTTCGACAGCACATATACTAAGCTAATCATCCACATTAAAACCACCACAGATCTCGATGATGAAAACTTCTTTCCATTTACTACTGCTCTAAACTTGCTCCTTTTAAGAAAAGTGTGGACAAATACCTTTAGTTCTTAGTGTGTTGTCACTTACTTAGACTTTTCAAACCAAAACTGAATTGAATTTGAATGCCAGTACTGCAGGGGTTCGTGTTAAGCTTTAACCATCTTTTTTTCCTTCTAAATAATATTCTGTAACAGCTTCCCTCACCCACTTAGAGCCTCAGGAAGTGGACAGAATTACTCGACAGAAATTTTATTTCTTTTCAGAATGGAAACCTAGACTGAAGATCGCTGCAAATGAGGTCCCTCAGCCACCAGAGCACTCAGCCCTGGCTCAGCTATACTGAAAAAGCAGTTCAGACTTTCTGACAAGTCTTGTGTTAATGTTTTCAGGCACACCGTCTCCTAACCTCGGCCCCAAGTCTCTATAAAAACAAACAATCCAAGAGGGGGAAGCAAAAAAAAAAAACAAAAAACAATCACCAACCACATAACCACATATTTTTCACTGACTTTAATTCATACATTCTGACTCTTCAGCTGCTATCAAGTTCCACATCTACAGTTAAATAAAAAGGCCCAGAATATAGCATTGAAAGAAAACAAACTTAAATAGGTAAAAAGAACATTTCCTTACCCATCTACCAAAATAAATATTATGTGGATTCTCAGGAATGCAGTTGGGGTCCAAACCATAATCCTCCAAAACAGAGAATATATGCTGTGGCTTCTTTAAATTTACTTTTCCTTCAAATGGCAGAAACTCAAGAGCCTACAAAATAAAAGTAATTCCAATGTCCTATAAAAATTTAAAAGGAAAAATAGTGCTTATTTTTAATAATGCCTATCTTATAAGTTTGGTATTAGGATTTAGACAAAACACGAAACATACTTTGCACACACTGTGCTACAAAATAAACACTTAACAAACATTGGAATTATTACATATCAACAGGGATTAGACTATATTAATCTCACAGGTTTTTTGGCTTTGCTAAATTCACTTACATCTATTCGTTTGACTTTTTCTTCTTGTGTCAATGTTTTATTGAATGTGTGAATCTGTATTTTATATGTAGAATCTGAATGTAGAAATGGAACCTAAAATAAAAGCAGATAAGTTCTTTAGGCTTAGTAATTCCACAGGATCTGCAGACATACTACATGAAACCACACTTCACTACGCACCATCTTCTCCACAGGGTAGTTTCTGAGAGAATTATACAGCTCTTCTGAAGATTTCCCATGACCCCAAAGTTCAAATATGGACCTAGGAGATAAATGATCAGTATTAACTGATCAGTATTGACTTCTCAGGTAAGAAGTCAGTTCACACAGTAATGTGTCACGGTGATTTCACCAGTTCTTTATGCTCATTCCACTAAAACATGTATTGCCTATGTTTTCAAAGCTATAAATGAGAAATATGTATCCTGGAAACAAATATAGCTTAAATCACACATAGGAATTGAACTTCACACATAAGGACATAAATTTATCATCAATCACAAATGATGTAGTAAAATCACTTAAGTTATTTTAGTAAATGGGTGAAAAGCTGCAGGAAATCCAATTTTTCCCAGTTTTTTCTCCATAAAACAAAAAGAAAAACGATCAGATTAAAATGTTACTATTAATACTTAGCTATTACTTAGTAACATTTAGTAACTATTATTTTAAAAACTATTACAGAAATTCTTACATTAAAAAATATAGTCAAGCTTCCATATATTTCTAAAAACATTTAAACAATTACAAGCAAGCTTTCGTTGCAACCAGTGAAATAGTTCTTAGAATTAGTTGAAATAGAACTCAATCTACATATTAGCACAGTTCTTCTGTGCATCTAAATTTAAACTACTTTATAAGTGTAATTAACAATGCCATTAATATTGAGATTATCTTTTGAAAATGAATTCCTCCTTCCCTTTGTATTGAATTTATAGAAAGAGGGCCTCTATAGTAATTCTACGTTTACGTAGCTATCACTTAAGGAGTGACCTGAGCTATACAAAACACACAGAAAATAAAAAACAGCCATGGAAATTATTTACATACTATTAATAATCATTACACAATTATTAATTGTACCATTTACCAAATAAATGCATCAGAAGATAGGAGCTTTGAAGGAAGTGTACACGTTCTTGGTCCTCAAGCAGCTACTTTAAACCTAATAAACCACATCTTTGAAAATCAAACACCTTTGAGAGCTATAACTTTTAATATGCTTATCTAAAGAAGTAATTAATTAAGGATGTGTTTCTTATTTATGTTTCCATTGTCTAGTCATTTTTATTAAATACGTTAGACACATTAACAAGCTTGAGTTTAAGAGATTAGATGTAGTACTGTGATAGTTTTAATAAGATGAAATTAACTGAATATTGGTTTATAGTCTACTCAATATTGCCAACCATGTTAATAAAACCAGGTATACGTAAATTCATATTTGCACTGCATTATTAAATGTTATTTTTAAGGAAAGAAGGCATTCAGTAATCTACCAAGATGTTCAGAAAACAAAGCAACTCAAGCATAAACTGGTCCAATTTTAAGATTAATGTTGAAAATACAGTTTAACTTTCAAACCCCAAAACAGAAAATTTTCCGGTAATAAAAGAAAAAGGGGAAAACAGAAAATGCCAATGATAAATTCTAGAAAAAAAACTCAAGTAGGATAAACAGTGAACAGCATAATTACATTAATTCATACCAAATTACGATAATCAGAACTCCTCTAAAAACTAAAACAGAAAAAATTATTATTTCATGGTGTCATCTTACATTCACCAATCTGCTCAACCAACTAAAAATCATCTACAAGAAAAACAGTTTAGATTTTTGGTTATAATTAACTGTGGCATTTACCCCATGTAACAGCACAGCATTTACATCTTATACCTTACTTCTGCTTAACATAGAAGTTTTAAAAGATTATTCTGAAGTAAGTGTTTCTGCATTTTACACTGAGATTTCAGCAGGTAACTCTCATGTTCCCTAAGTCCATCCAGTGGCAAATTCCGGTAACTGCAGGCTAACCTGACCTCCCCAACAACCAACCCCTTCTACTTTCTGCCAATACAGCAAAAAGCAGGACAGAGTAATTATGAGAAGTACTGTATACACTGATGCAGAAGAACATTGTAAGTTTTTCTTACTTGGCACACACTGTCCGCTTCATTAAGTTTCTGGCAATATCTTCAGAGGGAATAGTAAGAATCCAAAAAGGAGACTGAAAGAAAAAAAACAACAACATGCAACTTACTTCAAATAGGCTTTGTGGTCTCAAAGGCTTTTATTCAAGAAGTCAATAAGGAGATATTCCTACTTGCTACTTTTAGACAGTATGTAATCTGACTCTAATTAAAGTTGTTCTAAATATTAAGAAAAAGTAAATTATTTTAATAAAATATTATTGTATAATATCAGAATTAACCTAGTTATTAATAACAGGGAAGGAGCAAAAGGAAAGGCCAAATAGGATAGGCATGTCATTTGGGCAGCTCTGCCAGGAAGCTGCAGTTTATCGCTCTTCAGGGAGCCACCAGTCTCTGCCCCACAGACTGCTGGTGGGACAGTAGGTGCCTGTGGTGGCATTAGGAAGGTACCTGCCTGTCAGTCAAACCTGGGACAGGTGATTGGCCAGAGTAGGCATGGCCACTGTAAACTCAGGAAGATTTTTGAGATATTTAATCCCTTAAACTAAGGAGTTTGCTCTCTTGGTTTTTTTCTTGGTTGACTACTGGCTTGTGGGACTCTCTTGAATCCTGCTTCATGTATTTGCACGCATGGCCCATGTGGACCCCACACACAGTAGACTAATGGACTGCAACCAGCCTGATGCTAAACTGAACCTGATTACAATACGGAAAAGAAACGCTAGATATTGGCTTTGCTTTTAGCTCTACTGAATCCCCAGCTACACTAAGGGAAATGGGACTTGGGAAACACAGAGATATAATTCCACGTAAATATAATTCATTCATCCTCTCCTGCAAGTCTCAGAAAATTCTTTTTCTCAAGATATAAGGATTCCACCCCCAACACTCAGTGAAGAAAGAAATATCCTTCTTCCACCGATAACAAGAATACTTTTATAAGCGATTCTATAAATGACAATACTAGCAAATTTAAGGTTGTTTTGTAGTTGCTCTTATCTAGTTGGACCAAAGTAATTAATGCATATAAAATCCCAAAGTATAATCTTGAAAATTTTTTAATTTTATAACTTGAACATTTGCAGTTCTTGTCTTCAAATCCAAGATTCTATTTATATTTTATATAATTTACTGAAAAATATAAATTCAACTTACTTTTCCATAAGTTCCTTGATTATTGGTGAACTGACCTCCAAAAAGTGAAAGCAAAGATTGTATTTCCTATATTGAAAATATTATAGAGAGAACACATTTTAATACAAAGAATGCAAAGTGCATTAAAAGACATAGGTATAATACAATTAAAAATGAAAAGAGGGGGGCCTTGGCTGGTTTGCTCAGTGGTTAGTATCAGCCCTCACATGGAAGGATCACGAGTTTAATTCCCAGGCAGGGGTAGGTTATCTTGGTTGCAGGTTCCCCAGCCCACATAAAGATAAATGTGGGAACCACTGATAAAGGTTTAATCTCCAACATCTACAAACAGCTTATACAACTAAATAAAAGGAAGATGAATGATCCAATTAAAAAATGGGCAATGGACCTAAATAGAATATTTCCAAAAGAAGACAGAAGGAAGGCCAAAAGGCACATGAAAACATGCTCAAAGTCACTAATTATCCGAGAGATGCAAATCAAAACAACAATGCGGTACCATCTCACACCTGTCAGGATGGCCAACATCAACAGATCAACAAACGACAGGTGTTGGCGAGGTTGTGGAAAAAAAGGAACCCTCGTGCACTGCTGGTGGGAATGCAGACTGGTGCAACCACTGTGGAGAACAGTGTGGAGTTTCCTCAAAAAACTGAAAATGGAACTCCCATTTGACCCAGTAATCCCACTCCTAGGAATATATCCCAAGAAACTAGAAACACCAATCAGAAAGGATATATGCACCCCTATGTTCATAGCAGCACAATCTACAATAGCTAGAATTTGGAAACAGCCTAGGTGCCCATCAGCAGATGATTGGATCAAAAAACTTTGGTACATCTACACAATGGAATACTATGCTGCCATAAAAAAGAAGGAATTCTCATCATTTGTAGCAACCTGGATGGAAATGGAGAACATCATGCTGAGTGAAATAAGCCAGTCATTGAAAGAAAAACACCACATGACTTCACTCATTTGTGGATAATAAAGAACATTATAAACTGATGAACCAAAAGATAGATATAAAGATAGTATATCAACAAGCAGACTGTCAAATTACAGCGGGGAGGGGAGGAAGATCTGGGGGAGATAATAGATCAATCGAAGGACTTTTATACATGCACATAAGTACAACCATTGGACATAAAACTCTGGGGAGGGAGGGGATGTGAGGGAGGGAGGGAGGGGGGGCAAAAATATATATATATATATATTTTAAAAAAAAAAAAAAGACTGAAGAAAGGACCTCTTTTCCACTATTTTGAATGCTTAATAGCTAATTTCATAACATCACATGTACCATTTTAAGAAAGTGATGATTTAGTGGGAAATTAATGCTTTGCATCTGTATACTGTAAATATAAATGACGATTTGTTTGAAATGTGTAACTTGGATATGCAAAAGATAATAACTCACAATGTTAAAAAAATAAAATAAAAATAAATAAAAAAAAAAAATAAAAAAATAAATTAGCAAATAAAAAGATTTATGTAGGTAAAAAAAAAAAAAAAAAAAAAAAAAAAAAAAAAAAAAAAGATAAATGTGGGAGGCAACCAATCAATGTGTCTCTCTCATGTGGATATTTCTCTCTCTCTCTCCCCCTTCCTCCCTCAACTTTCACTCTCTCTAGAAATCAATGGAAAAAATATTCTCAAGTGAGGATTTAAAAAAAATAAAAATGAAAATGGGTTGAAGACCTACCTAAAGCATTTAAAATTCAATACCACACAAATTACATCTCCAGGTTCTAAAAAAAAAATTTAGTCACAAATAGTAATTTCTGAGAAATTTTATACAATAGAATTGCTAAAAGATTTGATCAGAAAATGTCCTTATTTGGGGGGGGGGGGAGAGGAGGGGAGCAAACTATAGATTAGTAAATCTGATACTAGAGCAATAAAAATAAATTACATAGATGATTTGGGAATGTCCAGAAAAGAAATAATATGTTTGCAAACATGTTTAAGATTCTCTTTTCTTCTCTTTGAATTGTAATATCAAAGATTTTCCTCCTTGACATCAGTATTGCATACTTTTCGGTAAGAAACAATATACTTTTAGGTGGTTTTCAAATCTATCAGTTTAAAATAAGGCTAACATATACATTTTATGAATAATGGCTTTTTCCATATTTTGGGTTTCTTTATGAGTCACAATAAGTAGGCTTACTATATACAAAGAGATGACATTTTTATGGCTTCTTACAGTTTATATGGCCAAAATACTTTCTTAAAGGGTTGGCCTAAATTATAAGGTCAGAAAGTATTTATTTCTCTTTATTACTTCTCAACTGGCTGTTGTACCATTACTTTATCAAATGATTTTAAAAAGGTACTTTTAATTTATTTTATTTTTTTATTACTAGCATAGTATTGTTAATATATTTGTTTACAAGCATATTTGGAATCATACTTTCTCTAGAAACTAAAATAACTAGTGATGTATTAATTTGAGATTAAAAGACCAACAATTTGCCAAAGCCAGTTTGGCTCAGTGGTGGAGCGTCGGTCTACAGACTGAAAGGTCCCAGGTTCGATTCCGGTCAAGGGCATGTACCTTGGTTGAGCGTACATCCCCGGTAGGGGGTGTGCAAGAGGCAGCTGGTTGATGTTTCTCTCTCATCGACGTTTCTAGCTCTCTATCCCTCTCCCTTTCTCTCTGTCAAAAATCAATAAAATATATTTAAAAAAAAAAAAAAAAAAGGACCAACAATTTTACCAAATAACAGGCAAGAGTGACAGGAGTGCAAATTAACTTTGCTGTCTTGATCAGTTAATTAGATGAATATATATATATATTATATATATATTATATATATTATATATATATGTTGAATTAAGAAAAAGAAATAAATCATTAACTAGGGAGCATCACTGTGAATTTATTAAGCACAAATTATGCTACGTTATTATTTAATCTAGTAACTGAAACGTGAGGTGTAAACACTGAGTGTTCTTAGAAAAGCAAAGCAAAATATATATAATATAATATATAAATTATATTAGAGTACCAGGGAGGAAAAGATTACTTCGGTTTTAGAAGAAAAGTTTCTATGGTGGCTGACTTCCCATGATGGAAAACTGGGTAATTCAGATTAAGTCTTCTGCTGAGAACTAGAAAAACCTGGCATCTGCTAAAGACATGGAGAGATTACAAGAATCGTCAAGCCAAGATCCAGGAGAGGACCAACATCCAAGGTGTAGCCACAGGCTCCCCGCAGATTTACCTGCTTTCACGTCAGCTGGGAAGGTAGGTAGCCCTTTTGTCAGCTTAATGAAGAGAGAGGGACAAAGAGCATGAGGCCCCCCAATAGGGAGGAAAAGAGGCTAATCATTCAGTTTAAACTGGAATCCAAAAAAACTTACAAATCCCAGGAGTACATGTGAATCAAACAAAACTTAACCCCTGAAAAGGAGCTCAAGTGATCCTACAATAGATTGTTATGACCCTGTGTGGGACTTACATCATCCTAGGCCTCATATTTTATTTCTTCAAATAAATTTACAGACACAACATTTGGGACATATTTAAAAAATAACCCAGTACACATATAAAAAAGAACCTGGGGGGGGGGGGGGGGGGACCATACATAACAGAAACAGACCTAAAGTTTGGCAGTCACATACTTTAACAGAATGGTACTTTCTATGTTGAAGATGGCCGGTTAACCCGGTCTAATTATCATATTTCCCTTTTATTCGTATAGATATAGGATAAGATTGCTTAAACCAGGGGAAAAAGCTTTTATTAGCAGGAGGAGATGCTCTTGGCAGACAAAAATACGTATCTGGACTGATAACCAGCCATATGCACTATACTGCCAAACCGGTTATTAAAAAATTGAACTGCTTTCTGGCACCTGTTCAATGGTCGGCAAACTCATTAGTCAACAGAGCAGCAAACTGAGGCTCTCGTGCCTCAGTTTGCCGACCAATGCCTTACACCAAACAGCTGTTCCCCTTAAAATCCCTCCTCAGCCCTTACCTTAGGTTCTGCCTTCCCAGTTCACCCAGATTAGGTTCTGATTGGTCAGTTTCTATGCCAGTCAGTGTCAAAAGCTCCGCCTCCTATCCAGTCACTGGCTCCTCACAGTTCACCTAGACTTGGTTCTGATTGGTCGGTTTCTATGTCAGTCAGCTTTGGGGGGGGGGGGTCTATCTAAGGGCCTGATCAGTGGAGGGACTGAGAGGCCCGGAGAGAAAAAGAGGTGCAGCTGCTGGCCAGGCCGGGAGAGAAAGAGAGAGGCACAGGCTGATCAACAGCTGCCATGGAGGCTACAGATCAGACCCTGCTTCTTTCTTTAGGCCTCCCTCCAGGTCTGATCCGCAGCAACCCAGCACCGACTGCAGGACTGATTTCCAGGCAGTTTTGGACATTGCGGACTCTGGGTTTTTATATATTAGGATAATTACTAGTCACTTCCTGGTTTAAAAAGAAAAAAAAACACTTTGTCACTTCCTGGCTTGAAAAGGAAAAAAAGAGTCAATGGCTCCCATTTAACTTAAAATTAAATCCAATGGCTACAAAACACTCCAAAATCCAGTTCCTACCATCATCTCTATCCTCACTGCCTACTGCTTCATCCTCCCTCCCCACACCTCCCACCTGCCAGTTCACCATAATCAACCATCCTGCATCTGCATGCTTGCTATTGTTTCTCAGTTCTCTTCACCCACAGAACATCTCCTTTATCAATTAAGATCTAATTACAGTAGGTCCTCGGGTTACGTCAGAGATCTGTTCCTACCCTAAGCACATACGTCACTCACATGGAGCTCAAACACAGCAGTAATGAAGTGAAACAGTAAAAAATATTTAAAAGAAAGATAATAATTCCTGACCTTATTTATTGTGGTAAATAAATAATAAAAAAACATAAAGCACATATGTACATACGTCGAAATGACAGAACTTTTTTTTTTTTTTATAAATAAATGGGAGATGGCGACGTAATCCGAGACTGCCTGCACAGTTATTACTCCCTCAATGAAACTCTATGCCCTTGCACCCCTATCTCGCCCTATTCCCTCCCAGCAGGACATTAATCCTGAAAGACACAATCTGTCTTTGTAAATCCTGAGGCTAGTAAGTTGAGCACAAATGAAGAAAATCACAGAATCTGGCAAAATTACACGTACAGGATCTTCACCCTCAGCTGAGTTGTCAGCATCGCTCTGACACCGGTATTCTTCTCTACTCAACTGTTTAACTTGTCAGCTCTCTGTTTTGCTCTCAAAGATTATTCCAAAGTTTACTATTTTTCTTAATTTCTCCATAAAACTGCTTTGTTCCCCATCTCTCAAGTGAATAACCTTGATTCGCTCATTACCTGGAAAATAGGACTTTGGGCAGCTACCCCATCCCTATCCTTTGCCCACTCTTCACTTCCGTTGAAAGACCAAAAACTCCTCCAACTGTGACTTTACATCCATGTCCCTATCTCTTCAGCCTATTTTTAAAAATATATATTTTATTGATTTTTTACAGAGAGGAAGAGAGAGGGATAGAGAGTTAGAAACATCAATGAGAGAGAATCATCAATCAGCTGCCTACATCCATTTCCCCATCTCTTCAGCCTATTTTTAAAAATATATATTTTATTGATTTTTTACAGAGAGGAAGAGAGAGGGATAGAGAGTTAGAAACATCGATGAAAGAGAATCATCAATCAGCTGCCTCTTGCACACCTCCTTCTGGGGATGTGCCCGCAACCAAGGTACATGCCCTTGATCGGAATCAAACCCAGGAGCCCCTAGTCCGCAGGCCAATACTCTATCCACTGAGCCAAACCAGTTTTGGCTCTCTTCAGCCTATGAACAAGCCAATCTCCAGGGGATCCAAGGTCCCTCAAACTATTAACCAATCTTACTTTCCCTTCTTATGCTCTATCATGCTCTAGTTAAGAGCACTATTCTATCTTCCCTTCCTCCTCTTTCGTGACCATTAAACCAAGCGATCTTGCCCCATCCCAGCCCCCAAAATAAACTCTACACAACAGCTAGAGCAAAATTCCCAAAACTTGACCCTCCAGTTTTCTGTGGCCTCACACCCTCCCTGTATGACACATGCCTATCTTCATGGCCTTCTCTTCTCACTTCTCCTTAATATCAGTATTTCCAAGCGCCTGCATTTGGCTCACCATTCTTCTTGACACTACGCTTTCTCTGAAAATTTTCATTTTTCTCTCCTAGTATTCATATGCAGAAGACTCGCAAATACTTATCACCAGTCCAGACCATTCTATCATGCTCTGTGCATACTCATATATGTATTCACTGCTTTCTGGTCATCTTCACTTGATATTATACAAGCACACTAAACTCGGCACAGCCAGAATTTAAAGCTTACATCTGGCTATGCTATTTTTTTTTAATTAAATTATTATCTGTGTACATATACCATTGCCCCCCCTCCCATATATGCTCTCTATTTTAAATAAAGACAACCTTATATCCACCCCAAGACTCATCCTCCCCCCACACACCTCCACCCCTTAGTCAATTGACTATCAAGCCCTGGTCATTTTATCACCTATATTGCCAGTCTATTCCATTCTCTTACCCCTTGCCCCAGTTTAGGCCTTCTTTCTTTATTAACAAGACTATTTATTACCACAGACTCCTAACCACAGATTTACTCCCCTCAGACCTATCCTCTGTGTTGCTGCCAATGTGCCTTCAAAAGAAAAATCTGATTCTCTCGCTTCCTTACTTAACGTTCTTCAATAAATTCCCCTTCCAAGCTCCTGAACATGGAGGGCTTTGGGTCTCTAGTCTCTTTCTGCCTCTCCTGTCCTCTTCTTACCACTCTCAGCTGCATATTTTGTAATCCAGTAATAAGAATAGCTTGTAATTCTAATTTACTTCTCTTCTTGGCCTGGTTAACTGCTACTCGTCCCGAAGTAGCTACTCATGGAAACCATCTCAAAGTCCAACCCCTCTCTCCCCCTTCCCTCAAGTGGATTAGATTCCCTTTTTATGTGTTCTCATATATTTCTCTGCGCATCTCTCTAGCACTGCACTTACAAACGTCACTTCAAAATACTATGTGTAGCCGCAACCAGTTTGGCTCAGTGGATAGAGCGTTGGCCTGCGGACTGAAAGGTCCTGGGTTCAATTCCGGTCAAGGGCATGTACCCTGGCACATCCCCAGTTGGGGGAGAAGGGGTGTTGGGAGGAGTGTGCAGGAGGCAGCTGATCGATGTTTCTCTCTCATCGATGTTCCTAACTCTCTATCCCCCTCTTCCTCTCTGTAAAGAACACACACACACACACACACACACACACACACACACACACACAATGTGTATGCACCTGCTCAGCCCTTGACCTAAGCAGTAAGCTCCTTGCAGAGGGAAACTGTCTTTGTCCCCATGGCATCCCCAGCGCCCTGCTTCTTCAGTGACAGGTACTCTGCCAGTGTTTCTTGAATGAATAAATAAAACACTTTCCCCAACTTCCCCATCAGCTAAGCTTCACAGACACACACACACCCGCCACCACCCTCTCGCCCCCAGACTGAGCGGCGTATCTGATGCTGAAACACCGCCCTGGGCTCCGCTGTCGGCTGGCTCTCCTCCGCCGGACGGAGGCTCCCGGAGTCAGAGGACCCGCCGCGTCCACCTGTCCACCTGCGGGCCCGGCCCGGGGCGAGGCCGGGAGGAAGCGCCGGCGAGGCTGGGAAGTCTGCCCGGGACTCCCTCCTCCTGCACCCTCCGCCGCGGGAGGGGGCGGCGGGAGCCCCGATAGCACGGCCCTGCGCCCCGCGTGCTCGGCCCCACCGCGCCGGCCTCCGGGCGGGCCGTGTGGGGGCCCCGCAGGCTCACCGGCAGGCGGAACTCCAGGTGCTCTTGCGCCATGAGCAGCAGGTACCTGTTCAGGGAGCCCGGCAGCGCCATGGCGGCCGCCACTGGTGCGCATGCGCAGCCCCGCAGCCGGCGTTGCCCCGCCCCTGCCTCCCCGCAGAGTGGTTTCCGCCGGACCGGAGCGTAGAGGACCGGAAACGGAAGTCGGAGAGGCGGGCGCAGTCCCAGGGATCCTCACCCGGGAGTGAGAGCCCGCGGCTCCGGGCGGGGCGGGCGGGGCGGGCGGGGCTGACCCCCGCAGCGGGGCGCTCCCGGTGGAGGTCGCGTTGTGCTCCGGAGCGGCTGGCCCGGGAGGCCGGGCCGTGCCCGTGGGCCTCTTCTCTGCAACGTTCTCAATCCCCGGTTCTTGGAAACGGCACCGAAATATCCCGTTTTCCTGCAGACCTCTCTGATCACTCCCCAGGCTTCGGGGACTGCCTGACCTGAACCACTTATTTAACATTTCGTATACTTTTTTTCATTTTTTGCAAAAAAAAAAAAAAAAACTTTTAAGGATACATGCTTTGTAAGCCAATTATAATAAACTCTTTGAGGGCCGGGAACATCTGTACCTCAGAGCAAACAAAACAAAGTCCTCCTCGGTGTAAGCACCAATAACTGCGAGATTGTGGTGGGAGACCGCCATAACCACAGCCAGCTGTGTATTAAAACCATGATGGAAGCTGCCTCTAACTGTTCCCTTTAGCGCAGGTGCCGCAGCAGTAAGTGCGTATCGTGAATTGTAATAATTTGCATGGTATGGGTATAGGTGGTGTTGCTTTTCAGAGCTGTTTTGCACTCCACTGGAATAATGTGCCAAGTACAAAAGAGTAGGTAGGTACCCTACATCTGAGCATCATGTGCCAGGAAGGTAGCTGGTGCTTAGCAGTAGTGATTAAGGACATAAGCTGTGGTGTTAATCTTAGGTCCAAACCTCGGTTCCTCTATTTACCAATTATATGTCTGCAAACAAATTTCTTAGCCTCTCTTATCTAAAATGTAAAAATACTGCCTCCTTCAAGGGATTGTTAGGACCACGCAAAGTACTAGCAATGTACATAAAGTGTTTAATATATTACCTGGCATATTGCATGGGGCTGATAAATGGCATTTAAGGAGATTTTTCTTCTCTAAAAAAAAAAAAAAAAATTTAACCCTGCACAAGCAAGCCATTAGGATTAGTGTGAAAATACTCTAAGATCAATTAAACTACCTTTAAGGGGCTCATAGGCAGACCTGTTCAATGTTTCTTGAGTTTACTAGAGTAGTTTAGGAACCACAGAAGAGTATGGACATTGGAAGCTGGTATTCAAACTAGAAACTTCCAATTTTTATTTTATTTTATTTCTTTGTACTGAATGAGGCAAGGAAGTTCATTGTCTGTCTTCTGGGAACTTACCCCAAGTTCAGTCCCTGGTTCACTCCTCCCATGAGAATTACTGTTGCACAAGCATTGAAGCCTCTGATACAGGCTGTTCATTATTTAAAAAAAAAAAAAAAAAAAAAAAAAAAAAAAAAAAAAAAACAGAGATGTTGCTGTAAGGACCAGGAATTGGAGAAGTGTTGTGTCGTGTTATGATTATAACAAACCACTACCGTGCTGAGACTAGCACACACAGGTAGTGAAGAAAGGAGATGACCAAAGTTTCCAACAACAGGTGTCATGTGTAATGTCAAGACTTCTCAGGCATCTGTATCAGATGGAGCATCTCACACCTGAAAAGGGATTGGGTATCACAGAGAACCATGGGGATTTGTGCACCAACGAGAGGGAGAAAATGTATCTTACTTTTAGTTATTAAAATAGAAGATTTTTGCAATGAGTAAAAAACAAGGGGGCTTTTGAACAGTTTGGAGAATAAAATTTTATTGGAAGAAATTATGGAACAGAAGAGTCTCCTGCATCGTCAAGCTTAATGGAGATGATTCAGGAAGAAGACGAGAGAACACCAGGTGCTCTCTGGAAGCAGACCTGAACACGCTGAGACTCTGAGGCACCAACTCAAACTTAAGCAGCTGCAGTTGAGTTAAGTATGGCTCGGCTCCTTGAGGTTAAATTCCCAACTAGCAAGATATCCAGAAGTGGAGCAAAGTAGATCTTGTCCTCTGGTCAAAAGACTCTCCAGAGAAAATCTAAAGCCCCAATTGCGATTTCAGCCCACTAATTTGTTACCTGTGAAACATGTTCCAAGAAAAAATGTGAATGACAATGGGCTGGAGATTCAGTTTTCTCTCACAGTCATCCTTAAATTCTAACACTGCCACAATTCAAATAATCAAGGGCCATACATTCCCAGGCAAATGTAAGATTCAGTCTGATGAGGAAGGCTAGCACTATCCAGCTGCTGGCTGAAATAGAAAGTTTTTCAAAAAGAAGCCTAACCTAGAGCCTGCCGAAATTAGGGTGCCTTTCCTCTTTGGACCAGTCCTTAATTTGACTTAATTTGGTTATTTTGTTTAAAATGAGACTCAGATTGCATGAGACTCAGATTGCAAGATACCAAGTTTATTTAAGCTCAGTCAGAGATGTTTTTTATACAGGGTGGGGCAAAAGTAGGTTTATAGTTGTGAGTACATGAAATACAGTTTATTCTTATATTATTTATTCATTATTGTACTATTTTCCATATCACCAACTGTAAACCTACTTTTGTCCCATCCTGTATTTATATTGCTAGAAAAAAGTTAATTCATAAAAATTAGCACACTTTTTTAAAGAATTATTTTAAGTTCAATACTAAAAACATTTTAAACTAGGTTTTGAAATAGCTTTCTATTGAGCTAATGTTATAGATAGCTAGAGAGTTATCAAATTCTTAAAGTATTGAAAAGGCTGTGTAAATTTTAATTGCAATTATTTCATTATTAATCTTTACAAATAAAAGAAAACTGACCTAAAAGTGTGAAGTTCCAAGTGTTTTCCAACAAAGAAAAAAAGCGTACTGTGAGAGAGTATAAACTTATATGAATTAAATCAACTGGCTAATTACATTTTTTAAAAATATGTTTTTATTGATTTCAGAGAGAGAGAGAGAAAAATAGAAAACATCAATGATGAGAATCATCAATCGGATGCCTCCTCCATGTCCCCAACTAGGGATCGAGCCCATAACCTGGGCATGTGCCCTGACCAGGAATTAAACCATGACCACCTGGTTCATGGGTCGATGCTCAACCACTAAGCCACACCAGCCAGGCATATGTTTTTTAAAAGTTCATTAGTCATTGAAAATTCTATAAGTACTACATGTTATCATCATAATATTGTCAATTATATTGCAAGTTCACATAGTACAACATGAAGCACATGCTGAATATTCCTTTTCTGTATCTGGTCATATTTGAACTGATTCAAATAAACTTGCTAATCTGTGTAGGTGCTAATCTGTGTAGGTGCTCAGCAAACTACTTAACAAAGCAATGCTCAAAAACTTGTTACTCTAATTTTGAGAGTCCATAACCCCTACTCCTAAATTCCTCTCTCCAGCTCTGGTGAATTAAAATGGAATTTGGGCATTCAAGTCAGTTGCAAAATAAATTATAATGGAAGCAGAACACAAGAAAAAGTACATTTGGGTCTCAAACTAAAGTTCCACTGTCTTCCTGCCTAACAATGAGCCACCTGCTCTCAAAAGTGTTTCCCTCTAGCCGAAACCGGTTTGGCTCAGTGGATAGAGTGCCAGTCTGTGGACTGAAAGGTCCCTGGTTCAATTCCGGTCAAGGGCATGTACCTTGGTTGCAGGCACATCCCAGTAGGGGGTGTGCAAGAGGCAGCTGATCAATGATTCTCTCTCATCAATGTTTCTAACTCTATCCCTCTCTCTTCCTCTCTGTAAAAAATCAATAAAATATATTTTTTAAAAAGTGTTTCCCTCTCCACAGCCTCTTTTGTATACATTATAGTACTTAACACATTTAATTGTAATCACTGGTTTTGACTGACCCTTGTATTAGCAATTAAAGGCAGTCCTTGCTGAAACTGGTTTGGCTCAGTGGATAGAGCGTTGGCCCGAGGACTGAAAGGTCTCGGGTTCAATTCCGGTCAAGGGCATTTACCTTGGTTGCGGGCACATCCCCAGTGGGGGGTGTGCAGGAAGCAGCTGATCGATGATTCTCTCTCGTCAATGTTTCTGACTCTCTGTCCCTCTCTCTTCCTCTCTGTGAAAAGTCAATAAAATATGTTTTGTAAGACACCACTGCACTCGGACCAGCCAATAAAATATGTTTTAAAGGCAGTCCTTTCTCACTTTTATATTTCTTGATCCTGGCAATAGCTGATACACATTAAAGGCTCAGTAAACGTTTGCTGAATGAATAAATGAGTGAACTAAACAATAATGATTTCAGGCATTGTAACTAAACATAGTATTCATCACTTAAAACTATATTTAATATCATGCAAAAAAATGAGAAATTAGTCATCTTAGCCATTTCCAATTTCAATACTTTAATCCTTACATTCCTAACATCAATACTTTAATCCTTATGTTCACTTATTCAAGTACATAGTACTAATATACACTGGCACAATGTAGGATTAGCTTTCGGTACCTACTATTTTTCATTCACATAGTGCTATTATTAATCTAGATTAGCAACAAAAGGCAGTTTATAAAGAAATATCTCATAAAATAATACATCAATAAAACTAACATTGTGTTATTAACATACATTTTCTGATCTGAGACCGTCTATCTTTACTTTCAAACCAGGATGTTTTCATGATAAAAACTAGATCTAATCACTTTTTAATTCTAATTTTCTTTTGGTACAGCAAACCATAAAACAGCAGTTTCTGCCAGTTTTAATAAATTAATGTAACTATTTTATGTTTATTTCCCACATATGTTCTTACAGGTAAAATTGCATTACAGTGAATTCTCTCAGCCAAATTGATTGTTATTGCAAAGTCACTGTTAGAAATTATTATATACTAGAGGCCCAGTACATGGAATTAATGCACTTGCAGGGCGGAGTGGTTGTTCCTCAGCTGGGTCTGCTCCCTTTTGCAGTCCAGGAGCCCTTGGGGGATGTCCGTCAGCGGGACATCCTTAGCACTGCTGCAGAAGCGAGAGGCTCCTGCCACCCTCGCTGTGCTCTCCAGCCATGAGCCCAGTGGCTTCTGGCTGAGCTGCACTCCCCCTGTGAACGCACTGACCTCCATGGGTCAGCTCCTGCATTGAACGTCTGCCCCCTGGTGGTCAGTGTACATTATAGGGATCAGTTGTTATGCTGTTTGGTCAATTTGCATATTACCCTTTTATTATAATACACAGCGCTAGAGGCCCGTTGGAGGAAGATTCCTGCAAGAATAGGGCTTCCTCTGGCCAGAACAAAGTAGAGAAGGGAGAGCTTCTCTCCCATCTCCACTGCCCCACTTGCTTCTCTGCAGCTTCACTCCTTTCTGCAGTACTTGGTTTCCTTCTACGCTGTCTTCAGTCTTCGCTCTGTGCCTGTGTATGCAAATTAACCATCATCTTTGTTGGGTTAATTTGCATACTTGCTCTGATTGGCTGGTAGGCATAGCGGAGGGATAATCAATTTGCATGTTTCTCTTTTATTAGTGTAGATACACAGAATTCAGGACTAATTTATTGCAAATGGTAGGCTTTAAGAAATAAAAGCCAGCATCTGAAATCTGAGTAAAAAGTGACAAATATATGAATTCTTTCTAGCAAGATCAGAGATCACTATATAATACAGTACTCTTTACTTTGAAATATGTACAAAATTATGAAACTGTCAAGAGATGGTTAATATCTTTTCTCTTTCATAATAAAACTCCAACAAAGTACTTTCTATACCCGTTGGTTCTTCATAATAATCACTATTATAAATGACAATAATGAGAAATGAAAATACTTGAACTTTTAAAAAATACAGAGCCCTTCTTGATTAACAGAATTTGTTTTAATGAAATTTTATCTATAATATCTTATACCTTAGACAAGTAACCATTAAAGAAGTCAATGCCAGAGTATTCATATAACTATATTATAGATCTCAGGAAACAGACATTCAGAAAAGACTTAAGGCTACCCAGGAATAGCCTCTTATAAAACCCAACAAACCTTACCATTGTAATTTGATTTAAAAGGGGCCAAAATATTAGTTTCTGTTGAGCTAAGAATACGAAAATCTTCCACTGATGTCATTCTGATGTTCTTAGTTTTTCAAGCAAATAGTCAGCCTGTAATTTTAAAAACACATTTTTTATTACAAATATGGTAGCTGGTGTGAAAAATTCTACTGGCATCCCTATTATAATAAACCACAGCAGACTGTCTGGATAATACATATTCTCTTCTTAAAAATATCTTACAAAAAACTTAAAGTGGAATCATACTATTTGGTTTATTTCCCTGAGCATAATGTCCTCATGATTTATCCATGGTTTAGCATGGGTCAGAATTCCCTTCCTGTAAAAAAAAAATCATTTTTCAAATATAGTGGACATATAATATTATATTAGTTCCAAATGTACAACACAGTGATTAGATATTTATATTCATTAGGAAGTGTTCTCCCCAGTAAGTCTGGTATCTTTCTGATACCATAGTTATTACAATATTATTGACTATATTTCTTATACTGTACTTTACATCCCCGTGACTATTTTTTTTAAAGTGTATTTTTAATTAGTTTTTATTATGGAAGCATGGCTCATGTAGAAAATTAGAAATACAAATACAAGGGGAAAAAATCGTGTTTTGAATTACACTGATATTTTAGAGACCACACCAACTATCCTGCAGAATATCACACTATTGCATTTCAAATACACACACATTCCTTAAATAAATTTTAATTAAATGAAGTCATTTAAGCAAGTTGAAGAAAGGAACAATAAGTCTGAAGTAAGAAGTTTCTAGAAAGAGGGTGCTTTTGAAATTTATTTACTATGACTATAATAATAATATGCATTGATTAATGGTGATTATTTAAAATTTTATAATTACTCAGATATAGCAACTTTAGGTCACCTTGTCATCATGGATACATAAAATAAGAGACTGGTAAACTACTAGTCAAGTGGCCTTGGAACAATCGAGTCATTTTTTTAGCCTTGACTGTCAGGCCACAGGTCTATAAGCAGCTGAATTCTATTCTACTTTTGTCCTAGTGAAGCAGAATTTTGCAATTTTTTTTAGGCTCAAAGCTTCAATCTCACATCTGGTAGTTGATGCTACTACAGCCCTTTTTTAAAGGAGTTTAAATATCAAAAATCACAAAAATCTCAATTTCTACAGTAATATTGCTAATGAAGACAAAGGCTGCATGTAACATTTATTGAGTACTTATTATTTGTAAAGTACTTTTAAGTGCTTTACATGTAAATTATTTTATAAATTCTACAGAAATAGGTACTATTACCTATATGCAGGTAATAAAGAACTTGGACCTTAAAACTCTTAAGTAGCTTGGACAGGGTCCTTCGAGTAATTAATGAAGCCAGAATTTGGATCCAGGTTTGATTCTGGATTCTGAACTATAAATGCCATGATTCTTCTATCTCACATCCTCTCCCTGAGACGGAGAGACTCAGCCTTAGTGTCTCTTCCTACAGATCTGACGACCTGGAAAATCCCCCCAATTAAAAATATTATTTTGGATATGTGCAAGAAGTATGATAAGACAGGTTATCAAACCTATAAAAGCTGTCTCCAAAAAAAGAAAAGCTACATTAAAAAAAAAGGACAAATATTTTATATACTTTTGTATGCTGCTAGTATAACAATAACACTTACTGTGATGAACCAATAGGAATTCGGTCTATAAATCAATTTTGATATGAAGCCAAATTCAGTGACTGGTGCTATGACATGAAGGTGCAAGTGGGAAATGGAGCAGAATGGTGGCACATGAAAACCCATTCTAAAACAGAAAGGTAAGAGATAATTGACAAATCAGTTCTACAATAGTTTAAAGCTATTTTTTCATATTAAAATGCATAAATATCAAAAAGATCCAACACAGGTTACCTAAGGTAGATCTTCACTCAAACATCTCTTTTACTGTTTTTCTTTATTTACTTTAGAGTATTCACAAAGTTCCTCTTCTTTTCATGTTTAAATGTACAGTAACATAAACTCTTCATCAAGAAGGTCTTACAGTATATCATGCCTTAATATAACCCTTCATGAATTTGGAGATGGTATTCCATCCTATCACTTTCAGCCTTTATCATATTAAGCTTTAATTCTCCTAAAATATGCCTCTTCAATGAAGATAAATAAATAAATACAGGACACTCAAGTAGGTTCCATTATTCCAAGACACAGCCAGTAGATGGCAAGTGTTCTCCTTTAATAAAAGTGGTAAATCATTTCCTTATGAACCAGGATTTTAGTAGTGAAATTAATTATAGTATCATTAAAGAAAAAATTTATCATCACTTGTTTCTTGTTTAACAATAAAAATTTAGATGATAATTATTCATATTCATTTGTTTTAAAATACATAACAATTCTTTTGACTAATAAAATTTTTTTAAATATGACTTACCCTTTTAAAAATTAATTTACAATTTCGCAAGTCCCCTTTTTCTAAGTGGAAGAAGGCACTAAAGAAGTGCTATATTGTGTCAGTATAGGACAAGGTAAGTCAGAGATGCAACACATATTAGAAGGCTTTCACTACTACCTAGAAAAGGAGACTAGGTTTTCTCTCTGTGGAATACAAGTTATATAATGTAGAATCAAGAAATCTAAAAGCCAGAAGAGACTCGGCCTTTTTATTTTAAATATGAGGAAGCTAAGATCCAAAAAGTTTAATAAACTTTCTAAAATCACAGTGTTAGGGAGTGGCAGAGTTAGGATTTAGACTCCTAACTAAAATAGAGTCAGAAGAGACCCAGCTCAACTTTTTCTCCCACTCTTTATTGTACTAAATACAAAATTATGTTAGCAAGAGGTAAAGTGAGTTTCTTAACTTTGCAGAATTCAATATTTCTTATTTTTAATCCTCACCTGAGGATATGTTTTTGTTGATTTTTGAGAGGGAGGGAGGAAGAGAAACATTGATGTAATAGTTGGAACGTAAGCACCGTTTTCCTATTACACTGAGATTTATGATGTTTAAGACATGCCAGACATTAATAGGTCATTTTTTTTTTTAAATCCCCATTCAAGGATATTTTTCCAATGATATTTAGAGAAAGTGGAAGGGAGGGAGGACGAAGCGGGGAGAGAAAGAGAGACAGACAGACACACACATTGATTAGTTGCCATCAACTAATTGCCATCTACTGGCTGTATCTTGAAATAATGGAACCTACTTGAGTGTCCTGTACTTATTTATCTTCTTAGGAGAATTAAAGCTTGTTTGTTTCTATAACAAGCAAGCACTCCTATAAACAAAAAACAGATGCCAAATTGAACATTTTGTGCTTTTGCTCAAATTTTGACAAATGCCAGAGTTCCTAGGATGGGAATGTACTAGTTTTGGCCAAAGGACATCAAATACCATTTGTTCTTTGTCATTATCATTCTTGGGTATGCGGAGCATCTTCACACACAGTCTCACCTGAGCCTACAAGTAGGCAGAACAAGATTAAAAGACTTGTCTAAAACGACAGAACCAGTACAAGCCCAGTATACTGGAAGCATCATGGGGAGCATTAGAATTCAGGTCTCTCGGAATTCCAGTTCAGAGGTGTCCGAGCCACCTCCACTATACACCTTGGTACTGCTTTGGTCACACAGGAAAAGTCAGAAATATTTAAAAACAAAAAACAGATGCCAAATTGAACATTTTGTGCTTTTGCTCAAATTTTGACAAATGCCAGAGTTCAGCAGGCAATGAATTCAAGTTAATTTCATGCTAAAAGTATATTTTTAAACCACATAAAATATTTTCTAAGGAAATTCTTCGATTTATACACAATTTTATAGAAATGCACATATTGAACAAAGAAAAGTCGACTCGTAACTATCTTACCTACCCACTGATTGAATATACTTGTCTGACCAAACTACAAGAGGTGATTATTAGATGATGTTGAGACATGAGAGGAAGTAATTTTTTTTTTCATTAAATTTACATTATCAATGAACTACACATTCACTTTCAGGAAAACTGCATTTACATTATAAACTCAGCCGGTTCTGCTTTCCTTTCCCACGAGGAAATAACATTTCAGAAAAATCAACTGTGAATATTGGTTTCCATTTGGAAGTATACATACCTCACATTTGTGAAGTCAGTGAAATTATTCTTTTTAAGAATGGTTTTTCCAACAGTAACCATGCTCTCAACTATAAAACAGGAAAGAAACTACATTACATTTATAGGAGACATTAAGTTCACTAAGGTGTTATTAATCTTAACTTTGGGGTCCTAATCAAATTTACTTATTCCAGGGGGGTGGGATTAATTCTAAGTGTGCAAGACTAGTACAATATCCATAAATCAATAAATGTGACACAACACATTAACAGATTGTAAGACAAAAATCACACGATCACATCAATAGATGCAGAAAAAGCACTGGACAAAACCCAGCACCCATTTTTGATAAAAAACTCTCAGCAAAGTGGGAATAGAGGGGTCAAGACGAAGAATACTGCCATCATCTTACCAAGTCCTATTTGCTCTTTCTTTAGCTCTGTGCAGTTTCCAATATGCTGCTTTGGCACCACAAGATAATGATGAGATGCTGCTGGTTTGATATCTTTAAAGCAAACTAGGTTTTCATCCTAAAGCAAAAACATAACATTTGCTAGTGAGTTTTTTAAAATAATTAACTAATGTGTCCTGGCAAGTGTGGGACAGTGGTTAGTCACTGAAGGGTCATGGGTCCGACTCCCAGTCAAGGACACATACTGGTTTGCAGGTTCAATCCCCAGTCCCAGACAGGAGGCAACTAATCAGTGTTTGCCTGCCTCTCTCTCTCTCTCTCTCTCTCTCTCTCTCTCTCTCTCTCTCTCTCTCTCTCCACCCCCTTCCCTTCCCCTTCTCTTCTCCCTCCCTTCCACTTTCTCTAAACATCATTGGGAAAATATCCTTGAATGGGGATTAAAAAAAAATGACCTATTAATTTCTGGCATGACTTAAACATCATAAATCTCAGTCTAATAGGAAAATGGTACTTAATGTACCAACTATCACATCAATGTTTCTCTCTCTCCCTCCCTCCCTCTCTAAAATCAACAAAAACATATCCTCAGGTGAGGATTAAAAATAAGAAATATTGAATTCTGCAAAGTTAAGAAACTCACTTTACCTCTTGCTAACATAATTTTGTATTTAGTACAATAAAGAGTGGGAGAAAAAGTAGAGGTGGGTCCCTTCTGAGTCTGTTTTTTTTTTACTGCTACTTTGCAGGGAGACAACTCATTCTTTCTCCCTGTCTGGTCTCCCTGCCTCTTCCTTCCCCTGGGCGCAGTGATTCTCAACCTTGCCAATGCCTCGACCCTTTAATACAGCTCCTCACGTTGAGGTGACCCCAACCATAAAGTTATTTTCGCTGCTACTTCATAACTTTGAAAAGGTTGTATCTTTAAAGGCGGGTTGAACTTATCATTCAGAATTGAAGGTCAGATAAAGAGCTTCACAGATAAGAAAAAGCTAAAGGAGTTCATCACCGCCAAACCAGGATTAGATGAAATGCTCAAAGGTATTCTTTAAGAAGAGGACGAAAAAGAAAAAGACAAAGATAAAAATTACGAACAACAAATACGAATCTATCAGCAAAAAGTGCACCGAAAAACCAAGGGAATAAAAAATCTGATGAACAGAATAAACTGGTGAATATAACAGAATCAGGGGCATAGAAAGGGAGCGAACTGATAATTCTTGGGGGAAAGGGGTGTGGGGGGTGCGGGAAGAGACTGGACTGAAATTGTACACCAATGGCTTAAACCGGATGGGCTCAGTAGGGGGTGTGCAAGAAGCAGCTGATCGATGTTTCTCTCTCATCAATGTTTCTAACTCTATCCATCTCTCTTCCTCTCTGTAAAAAAAACAATAAAATATATATTTTTTTTAAATAAAATAAAATTGTACACATATGGATGAGGACAGTGGGGGGAGGGGGAAAGGCAGAGGGTGGGGGAGGAACCTGGTAGAGGGGAGCTATGGGGGGGGGAGGGGTGAGAGGAACAACTGTAATAATCTGAACAATAAAGGTTTATTAAATTTAAAAAATAATAAAATAAAATGCAAAAAAATAAAATAAAAAAAAGGCAGGTGGCACCGGCAGAAGTGTGTGCCCGATGCCTGTTTGGAAAGACCTGGGCAGCACCCAGCGCTGTTCCACGTGACACCTGCCAACCCGACGCGCTCCCAGGCCCGGGCCTCCCGCGGCGACCTGACCTCCGACCTCTGACCTCGCCCCCGCTCTCCCCGTCCATCGAACAACCTCCACCACCACCGCCGCCGCCGCCGCCGCCGCCGCCGCCACCACCACCACCACCACCGCCGCCGCCGCCGCCGCCGCCGCCTCTCCAGTTACTGCGGCCCGGGGGGTCCCGTGAATCGTGTGGGAACTTAAAAGCGGTGTCTCAGCCGCGGGTGAGGGCTGCCCGGAGCAGAGACCGCAACTTCCGTCCCGCAGAGACAGGCCCCAGTGCGGGCTTCATCACATCCCCCCAACGCCCCCCACACACACCCGCACCCCGCACCCTACCCCCGCACCCCGCACCCTCCCCCGCACCCCATACCCTCCCCCCGCACCCCATACCCTCCCCCGCACCCCATACCCTCCCCCCGCACCCCGTACCCCTCCCGCACTCCGTACCCTCCCCCCGCACCCCGCACCCTCCCCCGCACCCTCCCCCGCACCCCATAACACCCCCCGCACCCCACCACCCCCACCCACCCACAGCCAGGAGCCGGGAGAAGCCGCCGCCGAGGACCCAGGCCGCCCACCTCACAGTGCAGGAACTCGGTATCCCTGTCCTCCACGATCCGGCAGAACACGCACTGGCTGCTGGAGCGCGTTGACTCTGCGGCGCCCTCGGCGGTGGCCGAGGGAGACCCCGTAGGTTGTGCGGCGGTCTCACCGCCCGTCACTCCGCCGGAGTCACTGGGCGCGTCGGCCATGGCGCCTGCCCCCCGCGGCCCAGCGCCTCGCCCCCTCCGGGACCCGGGGCTCGACCGGCACCTGCGCGGCTCCCCCTCCAGGCGTCGCCGCGGGCCTGGCGCTGGGCGGAGCTGCGTTGGACGCCGGCGGCAGGGCGGCCGGGTGCGGGGCCTCCCTGGCAGCGCCCGGCCTCGAAGCCGCGGCCACGAGGGGGCGCGCCAGTATGACCAGGCCTCTACGGGGCGGAGCCCGCGGCGGGGTGGCCCCGCCCCTGCGTCTCCTTGGTAATGACGCACGACGTCCGCCCAGACGCAGGAGCCCGCCTGGCGTCCCGGTGACTCCCCAGCGCGTCCTAATGCCCCGCCCAGTGAGACCTGTTAGGGATCCTACCAGTGGTCGGCAAACTGCGGCTCCCGAGCCACATGCGACTCTTTGATAAGGTGACCAGACGTCCCATCAAGTCCCGATTTTTAACAATTTGTCCCGCGTCCCGGGATCAAGGGTCAAATTGTAAAAAATCGGGAGGTCTGGTCACCTTACTCTTTGACCCCTGAAGTGTGGCTCTTCCACAAAATACTACAGCCTGGGCGAGTTTCTGTCGAAGAAGTGGCATTAGAAGAAGTTTAAGTTTAAAAAATTTGGCTCTCAAAAGACATCTCAATCATTGTACTGTTGACATTTGGCTCTGTGGACTAAAGAGTTTGCCGACCACTGTGACCTTCTTTCCACAAACCCTCTGCTAGAAAAGACCCCAGAGTGCATTACCCTGTCTTAAAAACAAAGGCTTTCAAAAACCTGTAGGTCTTAAGAGGATGAACAAAATCCCTAGAGCTTTCTTTTCAATGTCGATCCCTTTGATGCTTTTGCATGCATAGTCAGCCTAGTCACTGTAGGTGATTAAGCTGAAACTGTCCGAAATGGTACTTCACCTCTTTGCTTTCGGTTATGTTAACAGCATCCGCTAACTCCAAGAGCCGTCCAAGCTCACATTCCCATTCACAGAGTCCTGTAGGTTATGGTCTGAAATATCAAATTCACTGCCGATGCCTCATGGTGCTGCACCTCGACCACTGCAATAACCTTCCGAAATCATAGTTTCTCTCCACGATTCTCCTGTTACTCAAACAAAAACCCTTTAGTAACTATCGCACCCCTCTTCCCCCCAAAAAGTATCAATTCCTTAGCTTGGTATTCAAGGTGGCTCTGATTTGACCTCAACTTTTGATTTCATAATACTTGGCTTTTTGGTGGACACCCAAAGTGTGGCATGTATCTCTCTAATCCTTAAAACAAGCGAGGCTGGCTTTATCATTCGCACTACTGAGATGCAGAAACAAACTTGAGCTTGTCCGACACTAAACACAGCTAGTCATTGATAAGTGACAGGGTTCAAGTAAAGGTTTTTCCAACCCCAGGACCCACCTGGCTTTCTGAAGACAACTTTTTTTTTTTTTTTAACTGAAGTTGCCGTAAACGGTTTGGCTCAGTGGATAGAGCGTCGGTCTGTGGACTGAAAGGTCCCAGGTTCAATTCTGGTCAAGTGCATGTACATTGGTTGTGGGCACATCCCCAGTAGAGGGTGTGCAGGAGGCAGCTGGTCAATGTTTCTAGTTCACTATCCCTCTCCCTTCCTCTCTGTAAAAAATCAATAAAATATATATTTTTAAAAACAACAAAACAAACACTGAAGTTTTTCTTAGGCTAGATCATGATAGTCGTTTTTTTCTGGGGATTTGTTGATTTAGAAAATAAAGTCCTATTAGTAAATTTAGCAATGTTTCTGAATGAATCTATGTTGCATTAATCAAAAGCATTTATAGATTGAAAGTAGTTGTAGGTTCAAGACAATTTCATTCCTTTTGCAGTTTGCCAGTGGTTTTGGGGACAACAATAATAACTTCATAGCCCCGTAAGAGCCCAAGGCAGGGTTCAGAATCAGTGCATTACTTTGTTCAATGTAAGTATTCACTATTTCCATGCATGGAGTACACCTTCACACGTGCTTTTATCCATGCTGTTCTCTCTGTTTGAGATATTGTTTCCATCTCTGTACATCAAATTCCACCTTAAAAGCCACTCCTCAAATGCTACCTCCTTCCTGAAGTTTTCTTCATCCAAACTGAAAAATAGTACTTCCTCTTATGAATTCACACGGCATTTATTTTTTTATTTTTTTATTGCATTTCTTACAGAGTGGAAGAGAGAGGGATAGAGAGTTAGAAACATCAATGAGAGAGGAACATTGATCAGCTGCCTCCTGCACACTTCCTACTGGGGATGTGCCGGCAACCAAGGTACATGCCCTTGATTGGAATCGAACCTGGGACCTTTCCGTCCGCAGGCGGATGCTCTATCCACTGAGCCAAACCGAGTAGGGCCACACAGCAATTTTTAATACTTGTCTGGTAGAACTTATCATTTTGTATTACAAACTATTTATGCACCTTGTAAGTTATGTTCCTTAATAAAAAGAACAAGTGTCTTTGAATCTCCCAGAATGCCTGGTACAGAGCTTTGCTTGGAGGTAGACACTTAACCATTGTCTAATGAACAAAAGAATGATTAGGAATAAGATTACTGCGTAGGAGTGTTCAGTTTGCACACTGTACAAGAACAGCACATATAAGAATGTGCTACTTGACGTCATTGGCAAACATTAACTTTTATAAAAGC